CTCCTTTCTACACCACACCTGGCCCTTCGGGTCAGTGAATCCCACTCTTGCTTTAACTCCTGTTGGACTATAATGGCAATCACTTATTATTATTATTAATTCTCACCTGAGGATATGTTTAGAGGAGAGAGAGAGAGAGAGAGAGAGAGAAACATGGATGTGAGAGAGAAACATTGATTGGTTGCCTCCTGTATGCGCCCCAACCAGGATTGAACCTGGATATGCCCAGACTGGGAATTGAACCCACAACTTTGGGTGTAAGGAACGATGCTTCAACTGAGCCACTGGGCCAGGATACAGTCACTTACAGCACTAGCACTGCCCAGTTGAGCTTTCTACTATGATGGGAATATTACATGTCTGTACTGTCTAATGCTGTACCACTGGTCACATGCAGCTACTGAAGCATTTGAAATGAGGCAAGTATGGTTTTAGCTCATTTACATTTGATTTTAAATGGACACTATGATGAGTAGCTACTCAGTTCAGTCTTCAAGTCACCTCCCCCTTCCTGCCACCAGCCCCTTCTGCCTTCCCCTCCATCTCCCTCCACGCAGGCCCAGGGCCACTCTCCTCCCCAAGGCTGTCCCTGTCCCTGTCCTGCCCAGGAGCCTTGCCCCACATGTACCTCTGGACTCTGTCTGCAGCCCTGAGCCTGTTCCTGTCATGCCGACCCGTGCAAGTCACAAGCACATCACCTTTATCCTGCAGGCTCGCCCCACACCCCTAGCTGAGTCCTCTGTGCTGTGAGACACACCCATACTCTACCTGTTCTACTTAATCACTGTCCCTCCATCCTCCTATGCTGCCCTCTGCAGGGCCAATCCTCTGTAGCCCAGACTGGACGGACCCCAGTCCATGCTCCAGCCCTGCTGGGACCTTGGGAAACCATGTGGCCCACTAAGTGGCCTTTGAGCTATTTTCCTAAAAACCGAAGGGAGGATACAGTCTGGCAGCCACAGGCAGTGAGAAAAAAAGAGCCAGCCCACTGAAAAAAAAACAGTAAACATTTCCCCTTTCCCTTACTACAAGGGTATGAAGTATTATCAGCAGATCTGAAAATATTCTAAGTGCAAACCCAGATCTCACCACCAGTGAAAGGCTGTCCTGAGGCTGGGACTGCAGGTGCCACTCACAGCTAAAGATCTGAAGCAAGGAGGCCAGGAAAGGCCGCTGGCCCATCGCTGGTGCACTTGCACAGGCCCACAGCCCAGGGCTCAGCTGCACTGGGGAAGCCGGCCACCGGGTAAGCAGACCACCTGACTCCTGGGCAGGTCCTTTCTGAATCCTATCTAAATGTTAGCCCTGGCCGGTTTGGCTCAGTGGATGGAGCGTCGGCCTGCGGACTCGAGGGTCCCAGGTTTGATTTTGGTCAGGGGCATGTGCCTTGGTTGCGGGCACATCCCCAATAGGGGGCGTGCAAGAGGCAGCTGATGGATGTTTCACTCTCATTGATGTTTCTAGCTCTCTGTCCCTCTCCCCTCCTCTTTGCAAAAAATCAATAAAATATATTTTTTAAATGTTAAATCAGTCCCAGCCAGTGTGGCTCAGTGGTTGAGCGTCAACCTGTGCAAACCAGGAAATCACAGTTCAATTCCTGGTCAGGGCATATGCCCAGTTTGCAGACTCAATCCCCAGTTAGGGGGCATGCAGGATGCAGCCAATCAATGATTCTCTCTCATCACTGATGTTTCTATCTCTTGCTCCCTCTCTAAAATCAATAAAAACATATTTTAAAAAAATATCTAATCAGCCCACACAGGGATGGAGGACCCACCATGCAGGTGTGTCCAGACCCACAGCAACAGTGCCCGTCAGGATGCAGCCAGCAGCAGCCATACTCTGGGCGGCTGAATTCTGGGGGCGATTGGGGCAAACACTGTTCATGAATGGGAACCAGCTTGTCGGGGGCAGTTTGTTATTCATCCTCACAGGCTGTGTGTGGCCAGCCTAGCATTACCAGGGTTGTTTCCCAATGGTCACAGCTGCATGGATGCGTGGGGCATGATGGGAGCATGCACTGGGCGAAGGGTCTGCTTCTTAGGCAGATGCAAGGATGGACCCTGGCTCTCGGCAAGAACCATGCATGTCAGATCACAGCCACAGAGAAGATGGAGCACGAATAACAAGTAGGATGGAGGCGTGCTTGAGAGGAAAGGGAAAGACACAATCCCAGCCCTCGGTAGCTCTCGGGATACGACAGAAACACATTACCTTCCTTCTGTGTGGGTTTATTTACATACAAAGCTAGCTGCGTATACATAAATGCACAGACTCATGGGCAGAGTTTCAGTTTACTCCTTTTTCCTGCTGTGTGTGTGTGTGTGTGTGTGTGTGTATGTGTGTGTGTTTAATGATAATAATACCATTTCGAAGACGTAACATGCCTAACTTCCACTCCAGCTGCCTCCCACTCTGGCTTGAGGAGCAACTTCGACAGAATCCAGACAGTCAGTTTCAGCAGGGGAGCCAGGCTCCCTGCTCGGTACAATAAAAGCTCCCAAGATAAATATATATTATATTTAATCCCGGATGGCGATGCATTCTCTTTCCAATACAGAAACAGGGGAGTCGGCCTCTATTTAGTTTGTCTGATTGCTTTAAAGAGGGGGAACACGTTGGCCCTGGAAAACGATGGTCCTCTATTCATTAGAGTGTCAATAATGCCCAGGCCAGGCATATCGACAGCAGATTAGCTTGGGCTGAGTCTGTGTACAAGACCAGTGCCTTTTTTATCCCAGCTTGTCTCCAGATCAATACACCCATCAGCATTCGAAAATTAGCCCGAGATGAGATTCCGATACTTGAGGTGGTGTGTCAGGCTAAGAGGGCACCTCGCCAACTCACGGATGGGAACACCTCGCTGGGGATTAGACGTTTTCCATTAGCTTGGACATGAGCGAAAATTGATGTAGGGCCCCTCCCCTCCCCTCCTCCCATCTCTCTATCCTCCACATATCCAACCTTCTCTCTGTGAGTCTATGTAAGACCTCAGAGCTATATTTCCTGCCATTTGATTCGATAAGCATTTACTACATGTTCCCTTTGGATAAGGCACTTACTTTAGGGCAGGAGCATATAAGCGTAAGAAAAAAAAAATTACAAAAATGTGGTGCCCATTTTCAAGGAGGCTTCTAAATTCATCACTATCCCTTCCATTCTCCAGTTCATAACAGCCCTGCTTCCTACAGAAAATGTCTGTGACAGTCCTGCCCTGGTGTCATGGTCATTGCTAGATAGTCCGCTCTCAACAGTACATGCATGGGGGGCAGCCTGGGGCTTGGGAAATGGTTTCAAATGCACCACCTGGTATAGATGTAAAAGATGCCACTGGGGCATTCTGGGAAACTCCTCAGACAATAGGGATTCTCAAGCTTTCTGGCCAACTATCCACAATAAACATGCATTTTTACATTAAAAACTTTCAATGACACAGAATTTTATGTAATAATACCTATTTGGTTGTTTGTAATATACTTTGATAGCTTCTATGCAATTCTACTTCCTTTAAAAACTGCTGTTTGCACCCAGCAGTTGGAAAAATACTCATTTATACAACTGATAAAAGAAAAATTTCCTTTTGGAAATAAAGACTAAGAAAAAAAAACAACAAATAAAAACAACCTGGTTGGACCCAGCTTGGCCACACCTGGAGGGCTCCTATGTCCCATTGGTGTGACTCCCTGTCCCATCCAAGGCCCACGTTGTTCTCACTCCCGTTGTGTGTTCTCCACATCCCTGGTCACACTGTCCCGCTCTTCACAGTTCCTGCCCACAATCCACGTGCACCCTGCCTTCCCACAGCCAACTCTCCCTTCATTCTTCCAGCTCCTTTGCTTTTTTCCTTCTTGAGCCACCGTTCTCCACCCAAGTCTCCTTACACTCCCTGGGCACAGACAAGGAAGGGCAGGGGAAGGAGCCTCTGAAAGGGAAGTTTACTGCCCGAACATGTCATTTTGGCAGGTGAAGGGAACTGGGAAAGAAGAGGCCACAGAAGAGCCAGGCTCTGTGCTCAAGGGCTGAAGCATAAAGCAAGGAATTGGTCCACTGTAAAAGACGTCTTAAAAATGTTTTAAAAAAACAACGGTAGGTTAATGAATAGCTATCACTTAAGCAGCATCTTATGTTCCAGCCCCTCTTCTGAGCATTCCCCACATTAACGCATGCAAAATGTGGTCCCCTGCCCCCCAGCTGCTCTGGTCATGGACCCATTGCACAGAGGGAAGTCCTGAGGCTCGGTTAGAAACCAGGTCCAAGTCTCACAGCCAGAAAGTGGCTGAGTCTGATTCCAAGGTCCCCCATGCTAGTTAGGGATGCATCCACCGTGGCTAAGTATTGTCTGAAGGCCCCGGGACCGGTTCTGCTTCGTGGGGAAGAGGCGAACACCATTCCCAGGGCCTGAGCATCAAGGAGAGAGCATAACCAAGAGAGACCCAAGGAGGAAACGAACGTACAGCTTCCCAAAGCTGGGGCTCAGGGGCACAACCCAAACTCAGTGAACCAGAGCGGGGGAGAACCACCCTGGGGCTGGGAGGTGAGGGAAGATGAAGTGAGCGGAAAACGATGGACGTGGGGTACAGGATGCTTCCGGTAGCTGCCAGCGCCCCTATATTGGGCTCTGCTTTCTCTGAAGGCCGCTTGAGGGTGTGGCAGGGGTACAGGGGCCAGAACTGAAATGCTGCTCTTCCAATCAAGTGGGCTTAGAATTGGAAGGAACTGAAAAATCTTAAGAGGAGGAAAAAAGGCCAAGGAAAGCAATAATTAGAGGAGAATTTTCTGAGAAAATATATTATTAGAACTAAAGCCAAAAAAAAAATCCTAGTCCCAGTCAACGGGAAAATGATTTGAAAACTTCCCATCGGATGGCAAGATGACAATTAAGAAGGTGTCCTGCTGGATGGGACAGACAGACAGAACCCATTTCTGTTGAGGATCACAGACCAAGTGTTTGACAGGCTCTCCAGCTGCCCACTGAGACCGCTCAGCCAGACCCCGCCTACCTTGCACGATGAGGTGGACCCGCGAGGTCTTGGGGTGGTTGTCCGTCTGCACAGAGCAGGTGTAGGGGCCCTCGTCATACACGTCCACGTTCTGGATCTCGATGCTGTACTGGGTTTGGGTGTTACTCAGGAGTACCACGCGGGGGTCCAGGCACCACTTGTCGTTCCCGGCGTACAGGGTGGTGCTGCGGTTCACTCAGGCCACACGGGTGACCCGGTTGTCAATGGTGCACCTGGAGGGAAGACCAGAGGGACACATCAGAAAAAACAGGAGCCTCAGGGTGGGGGTCCCTGGCAAGCGAGCGGGATGAGTTTTTGTGTCTGTCCCTGCTCCCTGCCCCTGTCTACACGCATGCATGGCCTGGGTGTGACGGGTCACAGATGGCACTTTCTGGGACTGGCGGCAGAGGTCTCATGGGATTAGAGCAGAGGTTCTCAACCTGTGGGTTGCGACCCCTTTGGAAGTCGAACGACCCTTTCACAGGGGTCGCCTAAGACCATCGGGAAACATATATAATTACATATTGTTTTTGTGATTAATCACTATGCTTTAATTATGTTCAATTTGTCACAATGAAATGGGGGTCACCACAGCATGAGGAACTATATTAAAGGGTCGCGGCATTGGGAAGATTGAGAACCACTGGATTAGAGCCTTAGAACATTAGATATGTCAGATTTCTGGTCCTGAACAGGTCAGTGCTTCTGTGACCACTGAGCACAGGGCCAGTGCAATGGTCCACACTATTCACAGAGCCTGAGGCATCTTCCCCAGCAGATGGCCGGGCCCTTCCAGCACGGCCAGCCCTCCTCCTGCTCCAGGATTTCCATGATGCATTATCCCTTACATTCCTTCCCAGGTGATCCCAGCGCACGAAGTCATTCAATACTTAGGACAACCCTATGAGGGAGGTTCTACAGGCAAAGACATTGAAGAACAAAGAAGCTAAATGCTGCCCCAAATCACACAGATAATATGCAACAGATCAGAGACCCATATGGTAACTCCTAAACATTCTTCTCATCTGAGATGAGTGAGTTCTGACAGGAGGCTTCTGAAGTCAAAGCTAACTAGGGACCACCCCCACTGCAACTCGTCTTCATTATATTCGGGGGCAGAAATGTTCAATTATTGCTACATGAAAGGTTTTTTCCAACATCTCAACACTGGCTGCACATGTAAAAACAGATGTTCTTTCTTTTTTATTTGTGCATCTGGAGTCCCCAAAATGTGGCAGCTCCCTTTCCCTTGCCCTACACTTTCAAATTTCCCAGCTGCTCTTGCCAACCCCTCGTCAATCTCTCTGTCTGCATCCGTTTTCTTCCCTCACTATACCCACTGTGCCCTATGGCCTTAGGCTAAATTCACAACCATGTCCTCATCCCAACTATAATGCTGGAAATAGCACCGTAGCCCAGTGTCTATAATGGTGCCTGGATTTTATATATGCTTTTGTGGTGTCAAAGTACTCTTACATCCACACTGACTCATCTGATTCCTGCAATAAATCTGTGACATAGGTGACCTTACCCACTCTCTCCTTTAAAGATCAGACTCCGCGGTTTGGAATGGCCTGGTGACTTGCCCCAGGTTAAAGAGCCAGGAGGTGACGTCAACCCTGGCACTCAGGTGGTCTAGTGCCTGGACCTGTGTGCCCCTCGGGATGCAAAGGTGAGTGCCAGCGGGGGGCACGATCGCTTCCACCGAATCCTCAAAATGGTCTGTTACCATAAACAGCCTAAGAACCGCTGTCGAGTGCACCAGCCTCCTAGGCGGTCCCTCTCGAGAGGCGATACCTGCGCTGTGCATCCTTTCCGCTTGCACTTGTGCAAATGTCATCCGGTCCTGCAGGGCCACTCAGGCGCAGGTGGGAAGCCTTGGTGAGAGCTCCCGCAGACAAAACCGCTCAACTAGAGCGCCTTGCTCGCTGTCCAGTGGGATCTGTGCTGCCGACTGTTTCCCGGGCAGCACAAGGTAGGAATGATAGAGACCTAACTAGGAAACGACCCGGGGGTCTTCTGACAATGGGCACAAAGCACCTGCATCAGAATCCTAGGAGGAGTCTATTACAGATTCTCTTTCCTACTGACTGAGAGTCTTTGGGAACTCCCAAAATGTGAATTTCTAACAATAGCCCAGTTTGGTCATGTCCACACCACCGCTTGAAAAACACTGGGGGAGAGTGGTGCATCGCCACAACCAACTACATGATTTGTGGGGTTTGGTGCAAAAGGAAAACGCAGAGCCCTTTGGTCGAGAATTATGAACAACTTCAAGGAGGTGACATCAGAGCACTGAACTGAGGGCAGGGCCTTGCTTCCAACAGGAAGCTGCAGAACCAACATTCAGAACCAGGGTTTTTGTTGTGGCTGTTCTATGTTGGGTTTTTTTTCTCTTCTTTTTTCTCCTCAAATTCAGTGTTCTTGAATGTCCTTATCAGACTCCATCACATTTAAATTCAATGCTCATCTGACTCACCAGGAAGCCCTGATGCATACAGACTGCTGGCTCCAGCCTGGTCTGGCGACTGCACTTGTACACCCATTCATTTAGACACCTGGTCCCCGGTGAGCTGAGAGCAGCCGAGCGCGTGGGCCTCAGGAAATGAGTCTTGTTGGAAGCCGCCTTGCATCACTTCACGGGGGGAACTTTCTAATGACCAATATGCTCCGGCAGCAGAGTGCTAGTTCTTTGCCCTCCAGCAGCCGAGGGTCTGACCAGACACAGGTGAACGGCCCTGGTGCGGGAAACACTGACCACCAGCCTCAAAACCCCCTGAATCCGTTTTGATGTCCACAGTGGGGCACCTCGCTGCCTCTTCCCAATGCGGGAGGGCTGTCCTGGCTTCCCTGGGAGCGTCTAATCCCTGGGATTGACTGGCACCAAGCAGTCTCACCACATGGCCCCGCGCTCACAGGGCTATAGATGCTCATCGGCAGGTGCACTTGCGCTCCAAACGCAGCCCATTTCCAGCGCGGCGGTGCGGCCCCTGTGATATACTGCGCTGAGGTGTTGGCGTAGCTCCAGCTGCGGTTTGGGCACATCCAAGGTCATGTTTAGATGTCCAAACCGTCACAGCAGGAGATCGGTCTTGCTGAGGCTCCTGGCATTAACGCCGGCTTCTGCAGAGATGGATCGCAGAGGGAACCTGGCCGCCAGCTCCTGTCACCTCCTCATCCTGCCCCCATCTTCCTGTCTCATTTATCGAGTCTCCACAACAATGCGGAGGAGACAGTTCTCTCAAGTTTTTTTTTTTTAAAGCAAACTGAGCAAAATGCTCTCCCAGCCAGAGCCAGTGCTGTGGTTGGTGGGACTCATGCGAAGATGGGGGGCGGGGAGGGGGAGGCTCAGTCAACAGGTTCCCTTTCATGCAGACACCTGCCCTCAACACAGACTCCCAAAACACACCGTGGTGTGTCACTTCCCCCATGAAGGTGATTGGCTGGAAGTAGGAAGGTGTCAGACTCAACTCTCCCCGGCTAATCCAGGGAGGCAGCCTTGTCCTCAGAGAACTAACTAGTCACAGGCTGGCGGGAGGCAGCTGGGAGAAGAACTGGAGATACAGGAAGGTTTGAAATGACCTCCCCAAGCCTTGAAAGTCTCTCACCTGCCCCCCCCCCCAATCTGGATATAGCTGGGCTCCCACAGGCTCATGCTCTCCGCCCACCCTGCCACACGCAGGACACAGAAGGACAGCCATTGCACATGTAGGGCGTTTGGATTCAGACCTGGAACTCCCAACTCCCCAAAGGCCAACCATCTCTCAACCCCGAAAGCCTCCATCCTCCAGCCTCAGTGCTGCCCTCAGTGACTCAGACCCTGGCCTTCTAGGCACTGGCCTCTGGCCTTGGGGGTTGGTGGGCGTGGCCTTCTCCTCTCACTAAGCCTGCTGTTCTCCCCTCCTGAGTGTGCCCCACCGACAGCCCATGGCCTGCCCGAGGCCACATCCTGGCAGAGTTCAGACAGACAGATAGACAGAGCCTGGGAGAGACTCTTGTTACCATTTCAGTGCTGACCCTCAGTGCCCTGCTCTGTGTGTCTGTCTGCACTCTGCTCCTTTTCTTGGAGAAGTTTCTTCTTAGAGAGAACAGGCCTGCTAGATTTGAACAGATTCTCAAGGATGTCCAGCCTGCATGGACCATCGATGCATTTTCTTTGGTGGTGAAAGCCTCACGTGCAGCTGACCAGAGGACCAGCCACAGGGGCCCGTGCTGGACCTTCCACCTGAGTGCAGCCCCTGGTGGAGAAAGCCGCACACCTCCAATTGTCTGCGACTGCGCTGACGGTGCCAACACGCTACGATGCAGCCATCTGTGGCCTTACTCTCTTGCAGATGAATGTGGCTTCATTATACTTGCTGCATTTCTACACAGAGGGATAGCAAAAGATGTTTCAGCAAGCCCAGGATGAGTGCTACAGAGATGAAGCCATGCAAGCGTGGCCTCAGAGCCTCCAGCTACTTTGGGGTTTGGGAGGCGATGAGAGTAAGAGTGAGAAGGAGAACGAGAGAGAGAGAGAGTGAGAGAGAGAGAGCTAGAAATTGCTAGAAAAACAGACCGAACGTATATGAATGTTTGGACTCTTCTAAAGACTAAGAGTGTGCTGAAATAAAGAGAAGGATTATTAAAGAAAGTGGAAAAAATCCAGGCTTGGTCTTTCTTAATCCCACCTGCCTGGGGATCTGAGGACTATAATGGATTCAGGCAGTGGGTAATCCAGCCAGTCTTTCCATCAAATGGCCCTTTAACTGCTTTTGAAAAGCAACACATCTCCAGCCAGGCGGGGGGCTACTGTGAAATAAGCGCGTCCACCCTTCACAGCACCTGGTCACAATCTCCTCTTATCGCACAGAAACGCTCCAGCGGCCCCTAAGTTGCTTTCTCTGAGCATCTGGCTTGTGCCCAGCCCACCCCTCGAGCTTCACAGAGAAACATTACAGACTGGATGGCTCAGAAGTACCAGCACCCGGCTGGTTGGGGTTGGCAGGTGCATCTTCCAGATGTGCTTCTGGGGGAAACCAACCAATGGGCAGCCCCGGTGGCTTCACCACCGACCTGCAGACCATTCAGATGTCACCGCACCTTAGCTCTTTATTGCAAAAGAACCTCCCCTACCAGGGATGCTAATTTTGACCCTACTGGAATCCGCCCTCATCTCAGTATTTACAACATTGCGTTGGGTCATGTAGAGAGAAAAACAATAAACTTGGACACAGCTTACACAGGCCTTGCAGATTTCAACCACTACTATTTCACTGT